CTGGGCGCTGTCCCTCAGCTCTTCAGCTCAAGGCGAGCGCTCTACCACTTGAGCTACAGCGCCACTTCCGGTTTTCTGGTGGTTTATTGGAGATAGGAGTCTCACGGTCTCTCCTGCCCGGGCTGGCTTTGAACCTCGATCCTCAGATCTCAGCCTCCTGAGTAGCTAGGATTACAGGCGTGAGCCACCAGCGCCCGGCTTTACAACTATATATTTTTATTTAGATATCAAAGGATGTGTGAGAAGGTAAGAAATACTGAGGTAAATGGGCCTTGGACACAGGAAGATGTTTGCTGCTCCATTATGTGAAATAGAAAAGGCACCCATTGAGAGGAAACCCCAAATCACAGGTATGGTCTGAAGAATGTGATGCAAAATGTGTACATGGATATGCAGGAATCAGACCACCCCATTCATAAAGAAACCACACAGGTAATTTGTGGCAATGACTGAGTGTTTCTCTGGGTTCTTTCCCTCCTCACATAAACAGCCACAGTGGATGATATCATAGAATGAGAGAAAACAAATCCACAGGCCCACACTCCTAAATCAGGGAAGAATCACCATCTGTGACTTGGTTTCCTGTTTTCCATCAACAAGAAATGTCTTCTGTTTTATGTTTCTAGATGATTTGTGTCTGAGACATGGCATGCCGTGAGCTGATCGAGTGGAAAGTGGAAGGCCGCCATCTTGGATGGTGGCAAGAGATTCCCTGGGTTTCACCAAGTGGACAGAGACAAGGCCGCTGCAAGATGGAGCTGGAGACAGGAGGACGTGGACGCCCATCTCCTGTCCCAACCAGGTGAGCGGGGCCCAGAGCCACGCCTGTCCTTGGAAGCCCTTCCTCCCTTTGTGCTCCAAGTCACCATGAAGGTCACTGGGCTGGACTGGCTCTTCCTTTGCTGCTAATCGCATTAGAGTCTGAGGGTGCCAGACCCTGCCCATGGCCCCCAGCGAGGCCACTGGGAGGACACTCGGAGGGGGACAAAAGGTCTTGTGATGGGAAACACTCGGGTCATTATGCATCAGGATGGTGGAGACATGATATAAAAGGAGGAAGCGTTCAGATCATTTCCACCACAGCCGACCTGCTCTGAGCTTCTACAGCCCCGGGCTCACCAGCAGTTTCCTCACGATGAAGGCTCTGCTCTTTGCTGTCTCGTTCTGTGTGGTCTGTGCTGAGATTCAGCCATGGAAGGTACCAGGCATGCACGTAGCAAGCTTGTGTGTGTGTGTGTGTGTGTGTGTGTGTGTGTATGAGAGACACAGAGAGATTGAGTTGAATAGCCTGTGGATGTCTGTGTGCTCATGATCAGGAAAATGCCTTTCCCTCTTTCAACTTCCTGTCGGTGGTAGATGGAGGTGGCCTCTTTAGTGCAAGACCCCCGGCCATGTTGGGTTGTGACTTTGCCTGGGGAGCCTGTCATGCCTGCCTTGAATCCTGGCTCACTCTCCAGAAGCCATGATGGTGCTCCTGGGTGTCTGGGTCATGGAGGCTCCGGGTTGGATGTCCCGGAAGAGAGGCAAGGCCTGACCTCCTCTTCTGCCAAATACAGATTGGTCTTGTGCTGGGCTGTGGGCGGGAGCAGAGGGGAGGAGGATCTATGGGGGGTAGGGGAAGGAGGAGAAAGGTGCTGGCCTTAGGCAATGGGACCTTCATCCTCCAGGTCACTGGCAAGTGGAGCACGGTGGCCATCCTAGCAAACAGATTGCCGAAGATTCAGGAAGACGGCCCCTTGAGAGGCCTTTTCCGCTACGTCGAGGCTCCTGAAGATGGAAGATCCATGACCGTCCAATTTTATAACAAGTGAGGAAAGCTTCCCTCTCCCACCTCTCCTCCCCATCCTCAGAAGATGGAGCCATGCTCTGCCCCCATGTCCGGGTCCTAGGATCTTTCACACAACCATGTACATTTTTAGAAAATGCCGTGGTGACTGGTTTCCAGCCAGGAATGGATAGTGTGGGCTCTGCGTCACAATCAGCACCTGAACCCTGGTGGATTCAGGTCTTACACGAGCAGCTCAGAAACAGAATGGACCCACACCCTGGGCTTTCGACCGAGGGGGAACCTTTGTGCCTATGGCCTTATCAAGGGCAGTGTCAGGTTTAATCTGGCACACAGTCCACATGCGTGGCAAATGTGTTCCCTGATTTTAGATTGACACATGGCTTCCTGGGAAGACGCTCTACACCCATACCCTTACCTTGACATGGACATGAGCATATTATTATTCATAATGAATATTATTATATAGTTAACAATAATTTTCCTATATATGACAGAATTATATACTAATTATCAAATACTGTCTATTTATAATATATCATGTAATAATTATATAATAAGAGTATTTAATAATAACCATAATAAATTTGAGGTGGTGAGTTATTCAAAGAATCTCTCAGGTTGGTATCCTCTTCTGCTCAACTATTCTGGAACATGTTCCTGGGATGTATGGATTTTTGTGCTGATATTTTTCAGGCAAACCGGAGTGTGCAAAAAATGCACTGTTGTGGGCACGCGGCAGGACGATGGATCATACAGAGCACCGTGTGAGTACAATGCGGTGTAGAGAGAAGAGGGGACTCGAAGCGTGGCCATGCACAGGATGCAGGGTGTGTGTGTGGGGGTGCTCTAGATCTTCCATCTATGCCTCTGAAGTCTCCGAACATCCAAGAGTAGAGTCGGAGATCATCTGCGAGAAAGAGCTGAACTGTCCAGGTGACGGCTTCAACCTAGAACATTCAGGGATTATACAAGTTTGCCTTAAGATCTTCAGGATATTTGATTATTCCTTTTCAAATGATCTCAAAGAGGATTCCCTCTAGATGTCACCATTTATGAAGGTGGTGGACAAACACATTAGATCTTGCTCAATCTCCTCAATTTAGCCGTTAGACACAACTCCTGACCCATGGGTTTTATCTTCCTTCCTTTATTTTTCATCACCAGCAATATGTATTTTATTAAAGAATTCATTTGAACACTGTACCCACAGATGATACAGATGTGAAGGCAACAGATCGCTAATCACCATTCCTGGCGATAAGCTTTCAGAACATGAATTATTGTCATAGTTTTTGACTCTCTTGAGTAAAAACTCTCTTGTGCACACAGAATGCCATTTGAAAAGGCCATTGATGGAGACCGCAGGTATTTTATCAACAGCTTCAGGAAATTCCCAGGAATTGAAGTGGGGGAAAACCCCATCCACTTTGTCAGGTGTTGCTGGCACCTTAGTCTCACTGGAGAAAATGATTTAACAACCATATTCTCCACATTGATCGAGTCATGCTGTATTCATAAACTGTTTTGTTGAACGTCCACCCCTCTGCACAGTTGCTTAGGATCATTAATATATATGTCCTAAGAAAGTCTGTTGGAGTTTGAAAGACCAGTAATCGATTGGAAAGGGGCCTGATGTACTAAAATCTCTGATATGAAAGTCAAAATACCAATAGAAGAGCCAACCTGAACCTACTGAATTGTATTGGTTTCACTTAGGACAAGTGGGAGCACAGATTCTTGTTCGTTCATGCTAGGATGGTTTGGGGAGGGTGGAGGATTCAGGCAAAGGTCTCTGGGCTGTGTCTGGAGGAGGTGGAATTCTCCACCCAAGACCAGGGTGTTTGACCGTCGAGGCAATGCCCAAGATGGATTAGGCACCAAATGACTGAGCGCCAGCCTACCCTGGGGGAGAGGAGGAGAGCAGTGTATTCCACACAGAGCAGGCGACTTGCAATGCGGGCCTAGAACGTGAGCGAGCTGAGGATGACTGCTTTTGTTCTAGACCGTGGCCTAAATAAGTTGGAGATTCTGAAGCAAAGCAGACATCTGATCTTCTACAATAAGAACACGGATGAAGAAGGACAGGTCACATACTGCATCCTGGTGGCAGGTGAGTGCCAGGGGCCGTCAGCCCATAGCGGGCTGGGGACTGAGCCTGGAGGGGGAAGGGCGGCCACTGCCCACATCCACTGCGGGAAATCATCGCCAAGCCCCGTGCTGCGGAGTGGAGGAGACAGAACGGTCTATTCCAAAAGACCTAGCTCTGTCGCACACTTGTTTATTCTACCCATTCCTAGAGAGTCTCCCAGCAGGGATCTGTCTCATTCCCACACTTCCAAGGGGCTTGTAGTATAGGAACCCACGGGGCAAATCCTCATTCAATTTGGTGGTGGAGTGAGCTCCTTTCCTCCCTGACCCCTCCTACCACGTTCTCGAAGGGTCCAAACAAATGTCACCTGCCTGGTAGAGCAACACGAGTTGAGCTTCTGAGATGAAATTCTGTCAAACACGACAATCATGAGCTCTGATGAATGAAGTATGAGCAAGCACTGGAGTTGGATAATGGGGTGTTTATCATACTCACAATGGAGGGGGGCTGAGAATATCCAACACAGGTTGGAGGAATGGCCAAGATGTGATTTGGAGTTGTGCTTCTGGTTTTTCTCACAGGTAACAGGGGAAATAGGCTTGAGTCCCTTTGTCCCATCCTTTTGGGAAGGGGCAAGACCCGAAATTGCGTGGGGAATTGGAGACGGGATAAGGGAGACTGCAGAGTGTGGAGGAAAGAAGAAATCTCACCTGGCACCAGTGGCTCACGCCTGCCATCCCAGCTACTCAGGAGGCTGCGATCTGAGGATCCTGGTGCGATGCCAGCAGGGACAGCTAAGTCCCTGAGACTCATCTCTCTAGTGAAGCACCAAAGAGCCAGAAACAGCCCCTGAGGGAGCATGCTAGCCTTAACACCAAAAGCTCACGACAGGCCCCAGGCCTCCAGTTCAATCTCCAGGACTGGCACCAAAATAACCAAAAACAAACCAAACATATAAATAAGCCCCGACAACACATCACGCTAGAGACCCCATCTTGATCTCTGGGAGCCTGTCGGCATGGGCATGGCTGATCACTGGCCCAGTGGTTCTCAGGGGAAGCCATTGTCATGTAGGCCGCCTCTTCCTGACTCCCTTTCCATGCCACACAGGGAAAGGAGAGAGGCTGACGGAGGAAGAGAAACAGAGGCTGGAGGAGTTCGCCGAGAAGAAGGCTATCCCCATGTCCAGCATTCAGTATGTCCAGGAAACAGGTGAGTCTGATCCTCTTCCTTCCAGCCGGCCACATACACATCACCACACGAACTCACTCCCCCGACATCCTTGCCCAAGATCGTCTCTGCACACAATCATGTGTTGCTTGCCTGGCAAGGAATCCGATTGGTGGGATTGCACATCTCTCTTGATCCTGCTTCATTTTCTTCCTTGCTCTTTTCATAGATGATTGTCCTGAGAAGTAAAGACCTGCCCGGGTGAGTACATGCACACACACACACACACACACACACACACACACACACACACACACACACACACACACACACACACACACACACACACACACACACACACACACACGAGATCCTGGGAAGTGAATCTGCCTTTAGCAGTTCATTTCTCATGTCCTACTTCTATGCGTTGCCTGTTTCCGATTTGCAATCTCCACTGTGAGGACATTCCCGGAGTCTCAGGTTCGGGTCCCTCCTCTCTGCTCCATCCTCACAGGTGATAACATGTTCAGGAGGGCACCTGCCTCCTTCTTCCCCATTCCAGCAGAATTGACTCTGGGAAGATGACCATCCTCACGGGTCACCCATGTTTTTCTGTATCTTGCTACATGGGCATCTTGACTCATGCCTTTACCCCTTTACCACTTCTTCTCCCCTTCTCCTGAAATCTGAGCTGTCAATCCATCACTGAGTGATTCAATAAACCTTTCCCAAGCATGTGCTTCTGACTTGGATGATCCACTCAATGGGGCCCTTCCCAGAAACAGCCACTCCAAAGGAGTGATTGAAAACCAAATCTCTACTAGAACCACCGATTCTGTGTCTGTTATTCAGAATAACGCCAGGCTCATGCCTGCCCCACTAGCTACTCAACGAGCAAAGATCTAAGTATCATGGGTTGAAATCAGCCCAGGGCAGAAAAGTCTGGGAGACTTCCTATCTCTAGTTAGTCACCTCCAAACCCAGAAGCAATGCTATGGCTTGTGTAGTTGAGTGCTGGCCTTGAACACAGAACCCGAAGGAGGATGCCCAAGTCCTGAGGACAAGCTCAGGGCCAGAAAACAGCAATGACAGAGTCCCTAAGCATTTAGAATTAGGAAAGGACACATCATCTTCAAGAGTGGGAGGGTCCGTGAAGAAGTTCTATCATGTTCCCATAGATTCTACCGGAAACGCAAGGCTGCAGGGCTCATTGTAGGCTTCCCTTGGTTCTGCCTTCCCTGGGACTGGACTGAGGGAATCTGTCAAACACACAAAGAAAACTGTCTTTGGGGCTTGAACACATGTCATCTCAGGCTCGGGGTTGGCCTTAGGCAGTGGAAAGTGCCTGAACCCCATTGTGGGAAAGAGCATGCCTAAAATGCCTGGCTGGTTCTTGTCACCATGTGGGGAATCCTGGAGGGGGAGTTGGAAAGGAGAAACCCTGGGTTGTGTGGTTTGCCCACCTGGGCCTGGTACATACATGTCCTGGATGCTGAGAGTCTCACCTGCTGCGGACATGCAGTAGCAGATGGGCACTGTCTCTCCCTGCTCTCAACTCTAGAATTTCTGCCAGTATCCTGAGTGAATTGCTCAGATTGAGATCCCCATTTACTCCTGATTTCTTCCTATCAAACTCCTTGGTGCAATATGCCCTTGCATTCATATTCTGCCACCCCCTTAATATGACAATGACCCATCAGAACCTATGAAGGCAGAGGTTGCGCTTAGTCCTGAACCAGACCCGTGGGTTTATTTGTTCTTCAGCCCAAGTTGGGATTAGAATATTAATCATGTAACATTCATATGGGAGTTGGGACAATTCACAGCTGAGCCTTTACTCATGCATCATCCAGGAATCTGCTGGTGGGACCTAGGCCACCCCCTCTTCCCAGGGTCCCCCTTGAATGAGCCGGTATTCAACACAGGTCCCCAAGAGCTTTGTCGTAGTCAACACAGTGGTAGAGAGTTGAACTCTGATCCCAGGGGTGGCACAAGAAGCCCAGAGCAGGCGCTGGCAGGGTTGGAGGAAGGAAAGCTCCACCAGGTCCAGGCGGAAGAGAGTTGATTTTTAGAAGAACCAAGCTACCAGCCTGCGCCAGATGGAGGCGTGAGGAGGTGTGGAGAGTGAGCACATGGCACACAGAGAGGATGTGGGGGATATCAGGCAGGAGGTATGGGCACAGGGGATGCAGAAGTGAGCACAGGAACTGGGGGACTGGTCACTATAGGAAGCATGATCAGGCAGAGGAGAAAGTGACCCTAGAGGAAGTGGAAGTGGCCTCAGGAGAGGAAGTGACCTCAGAGGAAGGGAAGTGGTCTTAGAGCAGAAGTGACCTCAGTGGAAGAGGAAGTGTCCTCAGAGGAAGAGGAAGTGGCCTCAGAGGAAGAGGAAGTGACCTCAGAGGCAGAGGAAGTGGCCTCAGAGGTTATTATGGTTCTATAGTAGAGCTTGAAATCTGGTATCATGATCCCTTCCCCATTGTTTCTTTTGCCTAGAATTGCTTTGGCTATCCTAGGTCTTTTGTTGTTCCATAGGAATTTGTGGATTGTTTTCTCTATTCAATAAATGATGTCATTGGGATTTTGATGGGAATTGCATTGAATTTGTATATCAGTTTTGGCAGTATGGCCATTTTCCTGATAGTAATTCTTCCTATCCAAGTACATGGAAGGTCTTTCCATTTCCTGGTGTCCTCTTTGATTCCTTTCTTTGGGCTTGTATAATTTTCACTAAATAGGTCCTTTACCTCTTTTAGGTTAATTTGTGGATTTTTTTTTGAGGTTATTGTAAATGGCGTAGTTTCCCTGATTTCCCTTGTACATTGTTGGTGAACAGAAAGGCAGCTGATTTTTGTGGGTTAATTTTGTATCCTGCTACTTTGCTGGTTTGTAAGTTCTAGGAGTTTGGAAGTGGAGTTTTGGGGGTCATTAAGGTATAATATCATGTCATCTGCAAATAAGGATAGTTCAATTTCTTCCTTTCCTGTGTGGATCCCTGTAATGTCCTTTTCTTACCTTATTGCTTTGGCTAAGGATTCCAGAACTATATTGAAGAGGGTGGGCATCCTTGCCTTGTTGCTGATTTTAGGAGAATTGGTTGTAGTTTTTCCCAGGTAAGTATATTAGCTATTTGTCTGTCATCTATGACTTTTATTGTTTTAAGGAATGTTCCTTCTATTCCTATTCTCAGAGCTTTTAACATGAATGGGTGACGTATTTTATCAAAAACCCGTTTGGCATCAATAGAGATAATCATGTGTTTCTTGACCTTGGATCTGTTGATGTGATGGATTACATTTATTTGTGTATGTTAAACCATCCCTGCATCTCTGGGATGAAGCCTACTTGATCATAATATATGATGTTTTTGATACGTTTCTGGATTCTGTTGGCTAAAATTTTATTGGGGAGCTCTGCATCTGTGTTCACCAAGATTAGTCTGTAGTTCTCTTTTTTCATTGGATCTTTGCCTGGTTTTGGGATGAATGTGATACTGGCTTCATAGAATGAGTTTGGGATTGCTCCATTTCTATTTCTCATAGAGTCTGAGGAGTATGGGTATTGGTTCCTCTTTAAAGGTCTTACAGAATTCCATAGTGAATACATCTGGGCTGGGGATTTTCCTTATTGGAAGGCTTATGATTGCTTTACTCTATCTCATTGTAAGTTACTGGCTTATATAATTGATTTATTTCTTCTTGGTTCAGTTTGGGCAATTTGTATTTCTCTATAAATTCATCCATTTCTGTTAGGTTTTCCTTCCTTAGTGAGTGTAGACTCTGGAAATAGTTCTTTATGATTGTTTGGATGTCTTGGATGTTTGTTGTAATTTTTCCTGTGGAATTGTGATTCCTGGATCTTATTGATTTGGGTCTCCTCTTTTTGGAGTTAGTCTTGCCTAAGGTCCATCTATTTTATTAATTTTTTCTAAAAATCATCTTTTTGTTTCATTAATATTATTTATAGTTGTTTTAGTCTCTATCTTGTTAATTTCAGCTCTTATTTTGGTTATCTCACTCTGTCTCGTAACTCTGAGTTCAATTTTTCTTGCTTTTCTAGCAGTTTTAGTTGCCACATTAGATTATTTACTTGGTTTGTCTCTATTTTCTTGATGCGTGCACTGAGAGCAATAAATTTGCCTCTTAGGACTGCTTTTGCTGTGTCCCATAGATTTCTTTGTGATGTAAATTCATTTTCATTGTGTTGTAGGAACTTTTTAATATCTTCTTTAATTTCTTCTGTGACCCAGGTGTTGCTCAGAAGTGTGCCATTCAATTTCCATCCATGTATTTGAGTAATTTCTACAGTATGCTTTCTTATTTTGAACTAGCTTGATTCCACTATGGTCATATAGAACACAAGGGATCATGCAGATTCTCTTTGCTTAAATTCTTTGTATGAACTAATATATGATCTATTCTGAACGTTCCATGGGCTTCTGAGAATGTGTAATGAGTTGTTGGGTGGAAACCTCTGTAGATGTCAATTAACCCCATTTGAGATATGGTATTTAATTGAGGCTTCTTTGCTAATCCTCTGGTGGTAGACCTGTCCTTTGGTGAGAGTGGAGTACTAAAGTTTCCTAGTCTTATTGTATTTGGATTAAATTTTTCCTGTAAGTCTGAGAGTATTGGCTTAATGTATGATGTGGGTGCTCCAATGTTTGGAGAGTATAAACTGATAATGATGGTATCCTCTTCTTGGATTGTCCCCTGTATTAGCATGTAGTGACCTTCTTTGTCTTTTTGTATTGATTTTAATGAAATGTTTGTCAGGGATCAGTATGGCAATTCCTGCTTCTTATTGGGAGCATGGTAGATCTTCCTCCATCCCTTCACTGGGAGTTTGTTTTTATCTTTGGCTGTGAGATGGGTTTCTTGTGGGCAATAAATGGATGGATCTTGTTTTCTGATCCAATCTGCAGTTCTTTTCATTGGTGAATTGACTCCATTAATATTTATGGTTATTATAGAGAGGTGCATTGTGTTTCCTGTCACGTTCCTGCTTTCCTAAGTTTTTCTTCTTCCCTTTTGCTTACTAAGCTGGTTGCCTGGTGATATCTTTCTGATGTGGATCCCTGATCTTGTTTTCTTCTGATTGTATTCCTTCTCTTAGTTTTTTTATGGCAGCATTATTATTTTTTAATTGTGAAAATGCCGTACAATCACATGGGCAAGGTAATGAGTACATTTCTTATCAAGCATTGTTGCTTCCTCCTTTGTTTCCCCTTCCCATCCTTTCCCATCTCCCCCCACCCTGCTCCCCTCTCCCCCCACACCCCCTTAATATTTTTTGTATGCTGGTTTATTGTTTATGAATTCATTTAGTTTTTCTTTGTTATTAAAATTTTTAGTTTCTCTGTCGAATGTGAACGCTAGCTTTGCTGGATATACCAGTCTGGGTTGGCAGTTATTGGCTTTTAGGGCTTGGATGGCACTTTTCCAGGCTCTCCTTGCAGTGTCTGTGGAGAGAACTGCAGTGATTCTAATTTTCCCCCACTGTATCATAGCTCCTTCTTTGCTTTTGGTGCATGCAAGATTGTTGCTTTGTTACTCAGATCTAATGTTTTTAC